TTGGGGTGTGGGTGATCACTCTGAGATGTACCCCAAATGCACATTAGTAAGTCTTATAGTTCCTTTCTCCAATTCATTTGCCTTTTGTGAGTTGATTTTTCAAGCAAACCTTCAGAGAACAGAGGAGACATTTCCCTTAGCCCCTATGTTAGCAAACAGCTAGACCTAGCCATCCCCTGAAAGTATAAGGAATTTATTTTTTTCTTTCCCAATCTTGTCCTAACATCAACTCTAATAGAGTGTAGTAGAAATGAGGACTTTGGAACCATATCGATTTTGGCCTCAGCTCTGAAAATGATTGGCAAACCACCTAATAACACTATTTCTGTCTCCTCACTGGTATATGGGCATCAACATCATACAGATGTTGTGATAGTCAAGGGAGAAAATGTTTCTTTGATGACTAGTGAGGCTGAGCATTTTTTCAGATCTTTCACAGAAACAAAGAACTGAGTATCACATGTTCTCACCCATAAGCGGAACTTGAACAATTATGGTGATACTATCAGAGAATAATTGGCAGTAGTGGGAAACTGCCAGGAGTGGGGTGAAGAAGCAAATTGGCAGTAGTGCCAATTCTGCCTAGGGAAGGGGGTGCATACCTCATTAACAAAGGTACCTGCAGAATGGACATTTGCATACCTAACCCTGAATTGTACCCCACATCCTTAAAATTAAAAAAAATTAAAAGAAAAAAGAGAAAATGAATAGAAATTATTTAGCTCAGAACCTGCATGCTAGATTCTCTCTCTTTCTTGTCTCTTTCATGCATGAAGTTGCAAAGAAGGAGATAAACAAACTGTAAATTCTTCTCTGGAACCAGGAGAGCTGCTTCCTCTCCACAAGAAAAATTGCTTCCTAAGTCCAGGTGAGAAGTGGTCTCTCTCTCTCCTCCAGTCTTCATTTGTTGCACAGAGTGTGTGGAAAAGAGAGGCTCATAGGGTGATTGTATGGCCTGTGTGCACTCACGAGTACATCTGACAGAGAGTTACCCTCATCTATACTCCTTTGGAAATGTTTCATCTGTGCAGAAACAAGGTGGAGAGGCAGGTGTTGCCTTGCCTTTCTTGGTAAGGGGATGGCAGGGTATGGTCCTGTTTTGCAAGATCCTTCAGCAAAGAGAGTGCGGTCTGTTACTCTAGCATGTATGATTATCTTGTCAAAGAACAAATGACCCCCATCATTTGGATGAATCTCCATCAACATCTTTATTTCTTTCGCACGTGGCTTTGTCTCTGCCAGAACTGGAGGTGTCTACTGTCTTGCCTTTTCTTCTTTGTCTCTCTGGCTTACCTCTGTAGCTCTAAGAAATTGAATTTGCATCTTAATCCTCCAATGTGACTTGAATGCTCCGCCTGCCAGTCTAACAATCAGAGAGAGTTTCTGGCATGACCCTGAAAGAAGTCCCTGAGTAACACATTATCCTGAATTGTTTCTATATCCTGGTTTACTGAAAACACTCACTTTTATAGCAAACTTGATTTTAATGAAGTGTTTATAATTTCTTTATCCCTAGAGAGTTATGGCAAATTTTTACCTCATATAGCCAATAACTAGCAAATACTTTATTTCTACATTTAATTATCATCAGGATACATGGTATAAATAAGATTTCTATCTCCAAAAAATTGAACTCTTTCATTTTTGAATTAATTTTGTGAAAGTTTAGCTGTTATCTCCAAGAATGATTGCATGTTTAAATTTGAAAACAATGTCTACTCAGTCATTGGTTTTTAACCCTCTAAATAGCTCTTTTGTTTCTTCTTAGGTGAGTACCAGTGGTTGATGCAGGGGATTTGTAATCTCACCACACTTTTTATCTTAGCTAACCATCCATCACCAGTCATACTTTCAGTTACATTTAGATTTGAAGTTTCCATTTGGACAGGCTTTGAAAAAAAAGAAAAAAAAAGAAAGAAAGAGAAAACCACACACACACAAAACTGTAAGGACATAAGTATTTTATATAGCTATATGGGAAATGCAGCTGACCTGAGTGGAACTCACTGATTTTCTGTAACATTTTGATTATATGGGTCTATGAGTTCAGATGAATCAAAGCAAAAATGAAACTCAGCAGGCATGATGAAATCAACCAAAGTCACTGAAACGGTTGGTCAGAGCCCATAAAAAACGGTTTCATTCTCTGAGACTATAGAGAAACTGGGGCCTAATTCAAGAGACAGCTTCTGAAGGCTGTCATCACTCAACTCTGCTAATAAAGAGACATTTTCAGCAGTATATATATATTTTAATCTGTAGCTTTGAACAGACTTCAGTAAGCTACACAAATAAGTTAATCTCTATAAACAACAGGATAAATGCACGATACCACTTTTAAAATTATATGAATATAATGTGTTGGTAACTGACGTGGGCAGCTGGGCTAGTGATAGGATAAGACCCAAATGAAGTATTTTAAAGATATTTTAATTTAATCAGCAATTGTCTCAGGGAAGAGAATGTGGTCAAGAAAACTATCCTGACTTTGTACAGAGAACGCTGTTTCTATTCTCTGCTCTATCTTTTGTCCTAGAGTCTCTCAGAGACTGAAAGTATGTTCAGAAATTTGTTGTAAAAGTGCCATTTTTGTAGAAGTATTCTGTTCATTTGTAAAGCAGAAAGACTAATATTTGCCTTACTTACCTCACAGATGGCTGTATGCATCCAAAGAGATCCATATTTGTGTAAAAACATATATGACACGGAACACTCTATCATTACTGTGTTCATGTAGGGATGTTCTTAAAGTGAATGTGGGCCTCAAAACTGCTGACTACTACCCAGCAACTCATGGACAAGGTATAATACTTATTCTAAATTGCCTGGAGAAGAAAAAGGTGATTTTTCTCTCTCTCACAAACACAAAAAAGATTCCACATAATTGTAATTAAATATTGACTGCTTTTTTTTTTTCATGGCATATCAGGTAATATGGTTTATAAGAGTCTCTCTAAAGCTACAGTACTATGAATATGCTGAGATCATGCAGTGTCAATAAAAAAGATAACAGTTTGTTTTATTAATGGGTTCTAAAAAATGTTTCTAAGAACAACAGCCCTGGAATAGAAACTCAAATTGATCGCTATACTTTTTCTATTTTCTCTTTTTAAAAATAAAGTCTGCCTGAAATATACCATCTATTGCTCCTTTCTTGAGTGTCAGTTGCTATAACTTTATATCATAAAATCTAATATTATATTACAAACTATGCTGTTTTTCAATATTTTTATATGCATTTCATATAATATGGTTTAAATTTTTTTTTCTTATTTTCCAGAGTATCTAGAAAAGTGCTAAATAAATTAACAGCCTCACAAGAAATTTTTCCTAAGGACTGAATTATTGATTAAGAGAAAACAAGCTAATATTAGCCATAAACTGTTAATATACTACAGCATATATTATTTAACATTTCTGGAATCTTCTCTTTAAGAATAATAATAAATGTTTGCAGAAATAGAATTTTATAAATATATTAAGTTAATCAATTACTTAATAGAACCCTTTCTCTAATTCAAAGCTAACTTCAGAATTAGAATTGATAAGCCAGAAATATTTTGATACATTAATGTGTAATCATTACAAAATGAAACTGAATTTCAATTGACAACACACGAGAGGCTAATTTTATTCATCTCTTAGAATATTTAAATTGCAGATTTGTTATTATTTTATACAATATAATTTTCTTAAGCAGGTGATATTAAATTTCTTCCTACATAAGTCTACTAAGTTGGACCAGATAAATTATTATTATATAAATTAGCAATAAATGCACAATAAGGATATTTTTTGACCAATCTCAATTTTACGGGCAGCATTTTCAACATAAGTAGAAAAAATCAGTGTAAAGTCTAACTCTCTTTTGTATTAGTAACATCGCATCTCTTAATTGCTTACAGCCCTGGTTTACTAAGTAGTAAACAATTAAGCATGCATCATTACATTCCTTAGGACACCTCTTTGAATGGATGCAATAATTTATTATTGACTAGGTCTAATTCTCCCTTGATTTACAAAAGTGGTAATAATATTCCATCTCACATAATGCTTTGCTAGGAGAAATCCAAATCTAGGCACTAAAATCTTTACAGTCTCCCCAGGAGGAATTGGGATGCAGGTGATATTCTCATTGCCACAGCTGAGAAAATGGAGGGCTTTGCCTGAGGTCTCCTGGCAAGTCAGCGATGTGATGAGCAGAATCTAGGTCTCCTGATGTCTAGTACACAATCACAAAAGCATAGAACTCTCAGGAGATTCACCCAAATCACGTGTGTGCCAAAAAGAAGAAGGAAAATGACACCCAGGGCACTCATTGCAGAATCCCCACAGCAACCTTGTCACCATTTCCTCTGACTGCACATAAAGCACACTGAAGGGTATCAGACAACATAAAATCCTAATGGTGCCCTTAATTAGGTGGGGCCATCACTCCAACTCCCTTACCTCCCACTGTCTAAGCTAGCAGTCCCAAATTCCTCTCTGGGGTGCCTAATCCTGAAAGCAAGACGTAGTTACAGAAACAATCTTGGGCTTACAAGGGACCATCAAGCTCTGATGATGATGAAGTTTGATAGCAATAATGTCAAACTTTATATGGCCATAATCCAAGTTTACAATGATACATTAAGCCATAATGCTACTATTTATATCACCATAAACCGGGTTTATGGTGATATAAATAGTCATGCTAATGGCATTAACAGCAGCACTCAGAGGAATCACAGCTGTTGAATGCTGCATTTATGCTATTAGCATTGCTATTTATATCACCATAAACTTAGGTAGTCAAACTTGTTACATATGAAAATACAAGGAAGATAGATATCCACAGTTTATGCCCAAATATAAGCTGCTGTACTGGAGGCTTTATGGCTGTTGCCTTCCTCTATGTTACTCTGCTTGGGTTGCGTGATATTTCTCTAGGAGCCACAGAGAAGCCTGGAAACACTATTCAAATGTGATAAGAAAGTGCCACAGATGCTGGGCAAACTTACTGTCTCCTTGGCAGCGCAGAGGACCCACGCTCAGTTTGGCTTCTGAACCTTGTCGGTCAGTGTCTCCAACCACCACTTGGCTCACAGGCAGGTGATCTTTGTAGGACAAGAAGCCAGCGTCCTTCCTCCTGAATCACAGGGAAGGACAGAAAAGGATGAGGAGGCTGAGTTAGAAACACATCTTCTCTGCTACTTGCATAAGTAGTCTAATGACTGATGACATTTCAGTAATTGTTTGGAAGTTCACTAAGTAAAACCAGTTAGAGTTGTTCTCTCTCTCCCATAGGTGTTCTCATAGCTCAATTCTCAGAAGCAACTCTGGATCTTTGTCTTCTGGAAAACAGAATTGACATCCTAATTTCCAGATATTCACAACCAATATGTTGTATACTATTTTAGGTTGAAAGTAGACCACAGGACACACACCAGCATACACGCAGGATTTGCTGTTGTCATGGAGTCAAAAGTTCAACAAAGCCAACCTGGTCATTTGAATAATATGTGAAACAAAGCCTTATACAAAAACCTTTGTCTCTTTCATTTCTTTGGAGTAGTTCCTTCAGAGGCTTTCCTCCTTGCTGTGCATCAGCTAAATAAGGGACAGCTTTTGTTCCTTCATCTCTGCTTGTTTATTTTAACCACTGAAAGAGTTTATGTAAAGTTTCCAACACAGAGCAGGTGTTCAATAAGTATCTATTTGCATCGATAATGAGGAGCAGAGTTAAGATTCAAGTTCAGTTTGGTTTTCCTCCTGGGCTCATTCTTCTGTTTACTCTATACTTATCTTGCTTCAAGTCTCTCAAATCTACCCCATACCCACCCTAAATGAAGAAAGAAGACAAGGATAGTTATGACGTACTGATTCTATAATGGAACATAGACACCCTGGAGAGTTTCCTGGGGATGAACCCATCACATGCAGTGGTGTGCTTTTAGCTCTCTGTACACAGATTGCACCTTCATGGGAAATCACTGCCCCCCACATCCTCTTGTCCTGTTGCTGTGACTAAGGGATCCTCTCATTTGGGGTTGAATGGGTGGGAGGCACAAAGAAGTGAGAAATCATTCCTCAAATTTACCCTTTCAGAGAATTTTTTACATTGTTAAGACTGAATATAAATGACAATTTAAAAATTGCACATAGAACTGATCACAGAAAAAAAACACACTGATTTTGGATGACAGAATGAGAGAGACAGTTAAATAATCAGGTTAAAGTTTTGTCATTCACATCTTTTGGCATATAGTGCGGGGAATTGAGGGAAACCAACTTGGAAACCTGTCTTGAAAATGCTACGCTGTGTGGAGCAGTTACTTACACCTCTGATCTGCTGGAATGTCAGTGAACATATGCTCCCTGGGGTGTGAGGATGCACAGAAACCCAGGAAGGAGTCACAGAACTTGGCCAGTGGGACTCAAACAAATGCATTTTATACTGCCTTAGCTATTTTATTGTTCTCAACTTTTTCAAAATAAAGGTTTTAAAATGAATTATTTATCAAATTAGAACTAAGATAATTCAGAAAAGTGCTGTGATTGTTATTGACATTGTAACTGCAATTGTCTAGGCCTCAAGCATCTGTGGAAATTTTTTGCAAACTATCTTCTTTTATTAGAAGTTCTATGAATTAAAATCATGTCAAAGAAGAAGAAACAAATCTTCTGATATTAAACATGATATTTAATTCTTCTTAAAGGAACAATAAATGAAAGCACCCCCTAACAGCATATGGCAATTACAACCTATTAGAAGTGATGCTGTGTATTCCTATGGAACTGGGGACTGGGATTCTCTATAAGTTGATTACCATTTAGAATTATATGACTCTAAATCAGGGCTCCACAAACTAAATCCTGAGAACCAAACTTGGTTTGTCACTTGTGTTCATATGGCTCACAAGCTGAGAATGATTCACGTTTTAAATGACTGAAAAAAAAAGAATAAATGGTATTTTGTGATGTGAAATGCTATAAAATTCAAAGTCAATGTACATATAATGTCTTATTGGGATACAGCCACTTTCTTTTTAACATGTCTTTGCAGGCTACAATGGCAGATTTAAGTAGTTGTAGCAGAGACCATATGATCCTAAAATATGTATTATTTGGCCCTTTTAGTAAAAGTTTTCCAACTTTTTGCTTTAACTCATGATAAATACATAACTATCCATTTTCGCTTTAGGAATTTACTGAGCAACTATCTTTCTGTTTATTATGACAGGCAGCTGTTGCCTGCCTCAAGTCTCCAAAGTTGAGTATAGGGGTTGGGAAGATGTAAAGGGAGGGGACAAGAATATTTGCTGAGAATAAATACAAATAAATCATTTAAGTGGAAAGAAACCATGTAAACTTCAATTTATTTAATCTAATATGAGAAATTTATTTTTATTTTTAATTTTAAACATGTGGGGTACAATTCAGGGTTAGGTATATAAATGTTCACCATGCAGGTACCCTTATTGATGAGATGTGGCCTCCCTCTCCTGACAGGAGAAATAAATTATAATTAACTTTTTAATTTACTTTGCACTATACGACAAGCAGTCATGTGTCAGCTTTGGTAGAACCTATATCTATATCTATATCTATATCTGTATCTGTATCTGTGTCTGAGTCTGTTGTTCTGTGTCTGTGTCAGTGTCAATGTTTGTGTCTGTGTCTGTGTCTGTGTCTATGTCTACCCTGTAGGAAGAGTGGGTGTTCTGCAACTTGTACGTTGATAACTTTATAAAAACAAGATCTTTAAATGGTAGAATCTCCATGACATTCTGTAATAAAACGAATAATGATCATGAAAGTCTGAAAGGTACAGATTAATACATTTTTACATATATCTTTTTTTACATATATTCACATACATATACACACCTGTGAGGTCATGATTTAGAACACCTCCAGCACCCCAGAAGCATTTCTTGTCTCCCCCAGAATCAGTGCAAAAGTAACCATAATTCTGTCTACTGTCATCATAGATGAGTTTTGCTTGTTCTTGACCTTTATATACATGAAATCAGGATGCATTCTTTTGTGTTTAGCTCCTTTTACTCAACTTTATATCTATGAGATTCACTTATGTTATTTATTAAAAGTATAAATGAAATATTGAATAAAAGATAGTGTTATATAAATAAAAAGTTATTATTATACAATGATGAGGATAAATATTCTCCTGTTATCATTTGGGTATTTCCAGTGTTTGGCTATTGTGAATAAAGCTGCTATGAGCATTCTTATAAATGTGTTACTTGTTAGCATTCATTTATGTTGGGTATTTACCCAAAAGTAGAAAGACTGGATCATAAAGTACACATACGTTTAGCTTTAGTGGATAATTTCAAGCAACTTTCTCCATGAACTTGTCCCAACTTACATTTGTGCATGGGAATTCCGGTTGCTCAAGATCCTTGCCAGCATTTTGTAATATTGGTCTATTTATGATTAATGATAAAGTGACTACCTTATGCTGAGACTCGTACTAAGGTAAAAGTATTTTTGAAACAAATGTTTAGAAATATTCCAATTATTACGTAATTTTATTGCCAAAATTGATATATGAATAGACTTATAGGAATTCACACATCTATACACTGTCATAATTTGGAAATATAAATATTAAATCTTTGTAATAATTTTATAAATGTAGAATTGAAGTGAGTTTTGAACTTTTTTAATACTAAAAGTAGCCATTATTCAATTATTTTGCAAGAAAAACTGATGAACATCAAGGATGACAGAAATGTATAAGCCATGTTTCATCAAAACCTTTGCATTATTGGTCAATGAAACTGAAAAATTAATATCATGATTCATTACATTAATAATGTACATTAATAATGTACATTATGCCCACTTTACTGATGAGAAGAATGAAAATCAGAGAATTTCTCTTGACCGACATCACTAGTGGTAGAATTCAAATTCACATGATCTGGATTCTATCCCTGGACTTTTCACTAAAAAGAGGGGGAAACCAAAACAGAATAAAACCAAAAAGCCACTGTTCAAATTAAAAGCCTTTTTTCTTTTAATTCTCTTACAGATGAGGTTAAAAAGTACCTTCTTAGATATATTTAGCTAGCCTGAAATGCTGTGGTTATTTATAAGTCATAAATTGAAATATATCTACAATGTTATACTCACAACTTTGTGTAATGCTGTACTAGGCAAAATAAAATCCTACAACTATCTTATGCCCAATCCACCACTGTTTTTAATGATACATTGAAGTTCCTAATAGGTTGCAGTGCAGCTAGTATCAATAGCACTCAGATATCCCTTACCAAACCAAGAAACAAAGCAAACAAAATTTAGTTGAAAAAATAAGAAAAATTTACCTTTTTGATCACTTTTGGTAAAAGATCTAAATAGAACTCCAGAGATTTTAAACCCACAAACAACTGCATGTGATATTCACAAAGCAGTGATGTAGAAACAAATTCACAGGTGTCAAAAAAGTGGTTTGACTAGCACAAAGATTTTGTGGTCCTACAATGCAACCCACTTTAAAAATGATTTGTAGTCTGCAGAGGAGTTTCCCAAAAACCTATGTGATGTCCATCTTAGCACCTTGTGTGAGTTTTTCAGCAAGCAAAACAAGCCTTTGTTGAAAGTTATGCGCCTTACAGATCGAGGTCAATTTAATTTAGAGAGATATTCAGTAGCTATTTATCAAGTTAGCATAATAAGCTAATTACATCTGTTAGAGGGTTTGTACATTAGAAAAATTCTATCATCCATTTCAAATAGGCCCTGAACTCGTACTTTTGCATAATTCTTCTATCAGCATCGTTACTCAAGTAAACCTTAATTCTATGGATATCGTTTCTCTAACCTGGCGTTACTGTTATTTTCTTTCAGTACTTTTTTCCAGAGGAATTCTGCCTTGTTTTGCTGTTCTTTCTTTGCCCGCTTTCTTTATCCTGCTGAGAAAGCAAACAAGCCTTGAGGTAGTTCAGTCTTGCCCTTAGCTTAGTGAAAAAAGAAAAATAAACCCTAAAGAAAAATAAACATCCCAAGTTTTTACAATTGTGAGACTGCCTTTCCTATACGATAGTTCTAGCAGCAAAAAAGGACTTCTCCTTTGCAAAGTTTTAGGAGTGCTTGCTAACCTTTAAAAAAAAATTACAG